AGGATTATTCTTCCTTCACTCAGTTGCACTGAAAATATGTTTAATAGGTTGAAAAATGAATTATTTCAAACAGCTCAAGATTATAATTTTATGGAAATAATTTTACCAAAATGTACAACTGATTTCATTTTTGTCTTGAAATGAAATCCTTTTTGGATTTATTTTGGAGGACGTATTTTGCAATATAGTTGGTACCTGATGAATTTTCACCTGGATAAAAAAGATGTAAAGAGATTAAATGTCTTGTCAGACATAAAGCTCAGTCTGTTGTAGAACATGGAAGGAAAAAGCAACAACCATGGACTAGGTTTGTTTGTTTATTTCTATAATTTACATGCTGCTCCATTTTCAGAGACTCTGGCATACAATGTTAATTTAGTAAGACTAGAAACAAAAATCAGTTAATAGAATTATACTCAATCTGTGACACCAGGGATAGTGTGATCTAAAGTTTTATCATTATCTACAGCTGTGTCAGCAAGCACCTGCTCTTTTCTTCTGAATCCTTTACCAAAGCTGCTATTAACTTGATGTAAGCTGCCAAGAGTCTCTGAATTGCAGCAGGGTGGAACTGTGGTTACATAAATAAATAACTTCTATAGATGGGTTTGATACCATTTGTTTATAACAGATGCATGACTTTCATTGGCTCAAGGACTGCACCAGACTTACTGCAGTAGGTCAAGGGCTGTATTCTAAAAGGACCTGATTTCTTTTGGGAGAGGTTCATGAATTTAAAGGTGTGGAATAGGAGCTTTAAATCTTTCCAAATATTAAGACAACCACTGTAAATCCCCCAAGTATTTGCAAAATGCCAGGAAAGGTCTTCCAACCGTATCCAACTTGGAGGGGACTCTAAAGGATGCAGAAGGGGTGTTGGGATAATTTGTAACATTTTTCAATTACCATTACTGAAAGTTAGCCCCTTCTATGCAAAGGTACAGGACATTGGTTTAGGTGAACTAATGCATTAATATGATTAATGCTGTCTTTGTATTTGTCATCATTAATATAAAGAAAGGAGTACATGAGGTTTTCATTATGTATGAGGAAGCTTCATTAAATACAGGTAGTCCTCGACTTACGACCATTTGTTTAACGACCAAAGTTACGATGGTGCTGAAAAAAGTGATTTACTACCAGTCCTCACACTTATGACTGTCACAGTGTCATGTGATCAAAATTCAGGCGCTTGGCAACTGGCACATATTTATGATGGTTGCAGCATCCTGAGGTCACGTGATTGCCATTTGCAACCTTCCCAGGGGGCTTTCAACAAGCAAAGTTAATGAGGGAAGCTGGATTCATTTAGCGACCACATGATTCGCTTAACGACCATGGTAAAAAGTTGTCAAATCAGGCATGACTCACTTAACTGCACTGCTTAGTGATGGAAGTTCTGGTCCCTATTGTGGTAGTAAGTTGAGGACTACCTGTATTTCAGAACTACAAATAATATTGTTAGGGGTGTAGTCTCATTTATGTGCCCTTGCACTGAATAACATATATAGCCAATCTTTTATTAAGTAGTCTGATTTTCTTTAGTATGTTTTATTTTAACTGCCTCACAAACATGTTTACAGTAACTAATATAATATAAATACTGAGCTTCGCTATTTCTTTTGTAACCTTATTATATGTAGTGTCTTTGCTTGTATTTTTTATTTTTGTTTCAAAATAAAGTAAAAGTCCCTGGACTTTTACCTGATTTGGTGATCAAAAACAGAAGGCAGTAAAATTAGCAAACAATAAGATTACTTGCAACTGTGTCTCAAAATTAAATACACTTTACTTTGAGGCACCTATGTAGATTAGGCTCAAGGGATGAGGGGAGAAAATGGAGCATGATAACCATAAAGAATAATTTCTCAAATATGAATTTACCCAGTTCTTATAGTTCTAACTTGGAACATATGTAACCTGTATATCATACCTGGAGAGTACAAAAATACAGAATTTAAAAATAGGGTAATTATGTTTTATAGCTAAAATATAGTTTTATATTTTTCAGTTGATTTTTCTACAACTGTATTATATTTTGATATAGTTTATTGTCTCACTGCTATATACTTATATTCTTTGCTCTCCTTCTACATTAATGAAGGAGAATCTCAGAGTCACTCAAAGGTTTGGTTTTATAAGTTTTTGCCTATTATATTTTGTAAATAATGGAAAACTTGACCTAGTAAAAGACCGGCCTTTGCTTTTTTATATTGGTGGAGATCATATATATGTGGAAACACGAATGAATTTGCGGGTTTGTTACTTCATTAAACATTTATCAGAAAAGTTATTCTCTACAATGCTTCTTTGCTTCACTAGTTATTGATTAACAGCAGAGTTACCTTATCTCTTCATTGTATTTTTCCTTTCTTTTATTTGTGCTCTAGTGATGTTCAAAAGCGACAACTAATGATTTGTTTGATTAGTAAAGAATTCCTTTTTGATAACTTAGATATAATTTTTCAGAAGAAAACTATAGTCTTTTCTAGAAGGATCTAAATTCATCCTTTATCAACATAAGATACATTTTGTATTACTTTCCAGTTATAGTAGATTTTCTTAAGTGATTTCTATCTTTCAGCTTCCCAGTTTGGCTGGATGTGCTTCCATTGTTTGTTATGTGCCTTGTTGAAAAGATTGCTGCTATTACTATTACTGTTACATGCTGCAAAAATCCAGCTTAATTATCTCGTTGTTAGTTTATTTAATTGCAGTTGATCTATTTTGTATTCATGAAAGTTATTGCTAGAGTTTTTGAGTTTATATGGTAAGTAATAATACATTTTGGATTAATATACTGTATTGTGAGGGCCAGAGCCAAAATATTTAAAAGTAGATGGCCATTTTTAAAAATTTAACCACAATTTATTTATTTATTACAAAATGGATATATCACACTAATCTAATTCCTGATAGATAAATCATAATTCCAAACAGTCCATTAAAACTTAATGTTATAACAAAAATCAATAATGCAGTAAAATGAATCTAAAATTAATTCATATTGAACCTTGACACTCAATTTAGAATTAACAAATATAAAAAAGAAAAATAAACTCAGTGAAACTAACAGTTTAGGTGGTAAATGTACAGGTAGTCTTCAAGGTACAATCATTTTTTCAGCGACCATTCGTTACGATGCTGCTGGAAGAAATGGACTTACAACTGATCCCCAAAATTATAGCTGTTTCAGAGCCCCCATGGTCACATGATTAAAATTCAGGTGCTTGGCAGCATGCCTGCACTTATGACTGCAGGGGTACTTCAACTTCCCCCACCTACCTGTCTTCCCCATCTCTGCCCTTTTGGCTGCCCTGCACTCTGCCACCTACCCCTGCCACCCTCTGCTGCCCACAGCTGACCTTCACATTTCTTCCTCCTGCGTCTGGCCTGGGATCCAGGTGGTGGGCAAGGGTGCAGCTCTGGGAGGCAATCGGTGAGTGTGGCAGGGAGGAGGAGCCTCATCTACCAAAGGGAGCTTGCCAGGCTTGGCCAAGGAGGAGGCAGTGGGATGGTGAAGCGTGGCACTCTGTTGCCAGATGAGACAGGAGAGCCGGCAGTGGCTCCCCAGCTGAAGATGGAGGCTGTGTAGGAGGTGCTGTTTGGGATGGCGGCAGAACTGGAGAAAGCGGAAGGACATAGCTCGTATTGGAAGTACTTCTGGAAAATGTACCTGCAGGGACGCCCATTCACAGAGGTGCCCAGGTGCCGCCATATGTGCTGCCGGCACTGGGATACCAAAGGCTCGTCTTGCCATGGTGTCAGGGGTCAGCAGCCCTTCAGGATCCTGGTGGTGGCAGGTGGGTCCCTCAGGCACAAGCATGGCCAGCCAAAGCATTGCCCCCACCTCAATCAAGCTTAAAAGCCTACTGTCCATGCCCCATCCTCTGGCTGCTAGCACTGCCTCTGCCGCACATGCTGTGGGATTCCTTCATTTTTATGAAGCTGCTGGCCATTCGTGAGGCTTTCTGGAATGGGCAGAGAAAGCAAAAAGGCATAGGTGCGCTTTTTAGTTAGTGTGTTTGTCTGAATGAGGAGCAGGAATAAGTCTACACCACAAATCTACCACAACTGAACACTTCCCCAGTGACTTCACCACTCAACCCCCATGTGCTTTTCCTAGTCAGTATTTATGAAGAAAAGACTGAGCTTTTACTAGAGGAAACAAGGAAAGACACAAAACACAAAAGAGGGTGCGGGGCTGGTACAGAGATTTCATGTTCGGCTTTCTTCTCTGCAATGCCAGACTCGAACACTTATCCATCGGTTGCTCCCACATGGATAAACAAGCAGCGGGGGTGGGGAGAGGTCTTGTTCACCTCTCCTCAATTGGCTGGTGTTGCTCATCACTCTCCTTCTGATTGGAGTATTCTGCTTGCCCACCCCCACAAATTTCGCTGACTGTTTTGTCCCCTGGTAGATTAGACTTGACCGGCTGGCTATTAAACTTTTAAGGTCTTTTTCTGATTGGTTGAGCCCTCCCCTCTGTCACATGGCTCACCTTCCCATTGGCCAGGATGGTCATGGAGTGGCCTCGTAAAAATGAAGGAATCCCCCAGCGTGTGTCTTCGTGAATGGGCATCCCCGCAGGCCTGTTTTCCAGGAGCACTTCCAACACGAGCCCCCATCCCTCTGCTCCCTCCAGTTCTGCCACCACCCCAAATAACACCCCCCACACAGCCTCCACCTTTACCAGGGGAGTTGCCAGTGGCTCTCCTGCCTCACCTGGCGACAGAGACCACCACACCTCGCCATCTCACTGCCTCCTCCCTGGCCAGACTTGGCAAATTCCCTTTGGCAGATGAGGCTCTGCCTCCCTGCCACACTCACCACATGCATCCCTGGGCTGCATCCTTGCCCAGTGCCTGGACCCCAGGCCAGCAGCAGGAGGAAGAAGACATGAAGGTCAGCTGCAGAGGGTGACGGGTAGGTAGCAGAGTGCAGGGCAGCTAAAAGGGCAAAGGTGGGGGGAGAATGACTGGTTGGGGGAATTGAAGCGAAACCAAGCGTGGCAGTGCAGGAGAAGCATGAGGTCCCAGCCTAATGACAGTGCTGTCCTGGCTTAATGACCACAACTGGAACTACTGCAACTGCCATCGCTACACAGTGCGGTCATGTGATGTTTCACCTAACAACCACATTGCTTAGCACTGGAAATTTTACTCCCAATTGTGGTCGTAAGTTGAGGACTACCTGTGTGGTGAAAAAAAACCCTATCCTGATAACTGGCAAGCAAGACACCAACCTTACTGTGAAGTACAAGTTATTTCTCAAGTATTGGGTACTCGTTGACAAGGCCTTCTTCTAGAATCCTACCCTCTTGGGGTAGAATTAAAATCACCCTTTCTTGGATTGACTGCACAGAATGGCAAATTCAATTCAGAGAAGATAGTTCCATAGATAAGCAGCCCCCAGTAAAGAACAATAGTTATGATAGCTTTGGATGACTACCAAGAGAGAGAGGTCTTTATGGTCTCGGGATACCCCTTTAATATTTCTTATGTAATCGCTATTTGTGTGATCGTATTGTTCAGTGAAACCTTCCTATCTTACTGTGAACTTTTAAAATAGTTCTTATTTATTTGTTAATCACATTTATATCCTCCCAAATCCAGTATTAGCTCCCAGGTTTACAATGATAAAAAAACATACACAAGAAAGAACATAAACATTCAAACAGCCATAGTAAATCCAGTCTCACTTTCTGCTCTATGGCATTTTAATTCTTCAAATGGTGCTTTTCCTAGCCAATACAGCCTTTCATGGAGCCACCATGCAGTTCTTGTTAGAGCAGCTGCTAGACTTGAGTACACCAGCCTGCCTGGTAATCTTATTTCTCCATGTCCAGCAGACCAGATTGACATCAGATTTGGTAGGCTGATGAAGTTGAGTCTTAACTTCTCCCTTGTCTTCCTTTCCCGCCCCCTCCCTACCCCCAGTGTGTGGCAGTTGATCATCGTCCAATGTATCCACCAACTCCATACTTCTTATATCTTCTCCTCTGTCTACTATCCTACTCTACAACTTTCTTGAGACAGCTCTCAATCTGTCATAACAACTTTATTGCATTAGAAATAATCTAAAAGTAGCTCTCCTGGTTACCAGCTTAAAAAAAGTATTGATTTACTAAAAGCCCAAGCAACAAGAATATTAAAGCTTTCATAGCAGTGACAGATACTCCTTTTCCTTAAAAGCGGTTGTGGATATCAACAGATAATT